GTTTGAATTGTTTTTAACTGTTAGATTCTCCGTACTGTTTACCGCGCACATAGGCGCCTTTAGGACCCCCGCAACTGCTCTACATGGAGTTTAAGGCCATATGAACAAGATTTGATAGTTATCAATGCTTTTATTGATTAGATCATTGATTTATTTTCACACCAGCTATTTACATGTTCTGATATTACTTTCGCGGGTTTTTCTTATCTTATGCTTTAATCAAGTCTTTCTAATTAGTTTTTTGTCCCAACATAATATCTGCATTAGTGTTTCGGAGCCATGCGCATTGACCTTTTTACCGTTTATTTTGTAACATTTAAGGGTTTTCAAACTTATATCTAATCTCATTGTCCATTATTACAAATGCATGAGCTCTTGCCGAGCACAGTATAATAATGTATGAATTAAAGAATAAATTACCAAAAAGGTACGCCAGTCATTTCGAATTGTTTTATATAACGTCAAGTTATATTGCAATCGGTACGATTTTATCTGAAGTATCCTAATTACAGTGGTTAGTACCCGCAACGAGCGACATGTTTCATCTTGTGAGCATTATCATCATCATCGGCATCATCTTATTTTATGTGTTCATGTACACCGAGATTGCCTTGATTATGATGCACAAAAAAATATTAGAATTAGAGATGCTGATGTTCGCTCAAATGGTGTATTTATGCAGTATTCTATGCTGGTCATGAAGCTATCAATGATGGTGTAGCCTGTGGACCTCAAAGCAGCTTGCTTTGAGGTCTACCCATCATCCCTCAATCAGAGCCAATGACAGCTCGGTGTTCTGACGTCACCACAATACGTGCAAAAGACGCAGATGAACTTTCCCTCCGAATTCGTTCAATATATGGGTTTTTTGCAGCTTTTTGAATAGCCGCTTTACTTAATTGTCCATATAAAATTACATTACTTTCGCCGAGCGATACTTCCGTGATGAGATATTGGCCCCATGTGTGCTTTCGGTGTGCTTCAAAAATGCGTTTCACCAATGAAATCACGAAAATAATATTTTGACAGCGCACAAAGAAAATTAACATAAAAAGTAGCAAGGTTGCAAAAGAAATTTCGACCGACTAGAGGCTAGGCGTCGATCCAAGAATGCTTAGGCAGGTTTGGTTTGAACTCATCGCTTTAAGCTCAATATTTCATTTTCAGAGGTGCACTTCATGTGGTAGCTCCGGCATGAATTTTGCGAGTTCGCCATTATTTAGTCACGTGGTTTCAGCATGCATTTGACATGTGGGCCGCGTCACCGTTCGGTGTGAACTCGGCTCCTCTCGTGTTGAAAACGAAGGCCACCTCTACGATAGGCGAGGCTTCGGATCCAACGACACGCTTCGTGTCGAAAAGGGTAATTACTGCCAATGTTGTATGATGAATTCTTGTAAACTGTCGATGGATGGCCATCGTCTAACGAAGCTTGAATTCCGTCATTATTCATCGTGTAACTATTAAAATATAATTTAAAAAAACGGGCAAGGAACTATTCCTTTAAGAATATTGCAACATTTATTTAAAACGATCAAAATGCACCTCGTCGCATATGGTTTCGAGCATTCGAGCTCAACATCGTGTGCTTAGCAGAAATTTTCGATGGGCTCAGTTTGAGCACGTTTGTTAAAATTACGCGTAACATCACTGAGGCTAGGCGAAGTTTGGAGATTGTGTATAACAAGACGAGCTTCTGATGATTAAAGGGAAACTGGCAGGGTGTTTATGCTTGTACTATTTGAGCGTGTTGGTGCGTTTAAAACATTTAGAAAGTGGAGACACATAAGGGACGATACAGACACATAAGGGACGATACGATCGTCTCTTAGCTGGCTCCACTTTCTAAATGTTTATGCTCACCAAGGATTTTATTTGTACATGACATATGAGAGCCGAACTACCCAGAATACTATTTCTGGCTCGAAATTCGTTCTCTTTCAGCCCGAAAACAGCCGATCGAGAACTGGCCGTTTTTAGTCGCGCTCACTCTCTTCTCCATGGTCACGTGCCGTTTTCTATGGTTTAAACACAACCACCAAATGATAATCGAAGTCGTGAGTTATTGAATGCACACATTCAATAGTAAAAATCGACTGAAAACATGACGGCCACTATTTGTGGCTTCTAAAAAATGCAATTACGCTGATTGAAAAAAACAAATTGCACCACGACGTCACTTCCGGTAACTTTCACCTCCTCTAGAGTCTCTCTTCCTCCCCAGTCCAGTTTCGATTTCGATTTCATGCAGTTACGTTTCTTTTTTTTTTAGTAAAATATGCGTCACGCTGTAAAAAAATATTGGTTGGGCTCCCTTCTCACACCATAACGCATCGTCTTACAAAAAAAAAGTGGAGTGGGGGGGCGGGTTAATTTTATAAAATATTGTACAGTGCATGTTCATAATCATCACTGAACCTCAATTTGTAAGAAAAAATAAAGTGAACATTCTTACCACACCAGGCCATAGGCCTCCCATGTAAGTCCACTTGTCGCACTTCATTTTAATTAATCATATTTTGAGACGTTTTCTTTACCCAGGAATGTAAAGAAAAACTATTAGAACCTCGTGACTGTTTTTGATAAGGTGTGAAATAACCTTTAAACTTTAAACAGAGGTCGAAAGTCTCGTGCAATCAAACATACACTGCGTAGCTTGTGTGAAAGCAGAAAATAAAATAAAAATGACTGGCAGAAATGCCTCTTCTTCCTCATTGCTAGGAGGTATTTAGGTTGAGACGTCATTCCCTTGGAATAAACAAAATATGAAATGGGGGAATGAATGTTCTCACTCGTCCTCATTTACGACTCTGGCGAGGGTGATACAACTCTGAAATGAAAATAAATTACGAAAATATCAAATCATCTTGCAATGCTGATGCTTCACTTCCTATTTCAAGCACCGCAAAAAACTGTTTTGCACTTACACGGGTCCTAGACCTTAGGAGCTCCTTTCGGATACTAAAACACAAGTTGCTTGGCATTGCAATTTAAGACGCCGTGTCGAGTAATATATAGCACCTGAATCGAATCTGTTATTACATTTACGACCATACTTTTTTTTAAGCGGCAGCTTTACAAATTTAAGAAATAGTATATTCAATGCGCAGACACATATTTCGTTGGAGGTCAGGCATTTGCTACAAATCAGTCCATACCTTTGTCCACACACTTTCTTAGAGCTATTGGGCGCGTGTCTACAGCTACTAACAATTCCAACAGAATGTTCTACCCAACATTTTGTTTTATCCAACTGCCCACCTCGTAGCGAGAAAGAGCGCCCGCTGGTTTCTGGCCTGTTGTGTTCTTCATTCTCGCTTTTTTTTTTTTGTTCATATACATCGCAAGTTACGTGTATGCCATTGTCCCAAAGTGAGACGTAGGGGCGAAAGCTTGACATTCCTTGGTGTACTAATGGAAGGGTTCCTGTTAGAAATAATGCGATTGAGGCTCAGACTTTCCTAGGTTTGCATGATAATGTCGAGTAAAGAAAACTTATCTTGATTAAGAAACCTAACTATCCAGGTACTCAAAGCTCAGAGCATTTAAGCAATGACAAGCGGACTACTCAATGTTGACCTGATTGGGAACATATCATTGCTGGTTAGAAGATATGAGCTACTCTGCTTCTCCTTGGAACGTTCTCATACGACCGCCGACCGCTGCATGGTGACCCCAATGGCGTACTGTTTGTCCTTGCAAGGCACGAAGCATGAAGCACGTACTCAGGAATGGCCTGCGACTGCTGCGTCGATGCATTGGTCTGGCTTTGCATATTCCCATGAGCACCAAAAGTCGGGAATCCTTTCTTTATAGCTTCGTGGAAAACGTGATTGAAGATTCTGTCAGAAATGTTTATCGCAACCCGCCTTTGGTACAACATTTAGAGGAGACAGAGCTTGTTGATGTTGTCACGTGCTAGGTTAATGTGATTTGTTCATATTGTCAAATTTACTCGTGAGTGAGTCACTAAACATTAAAATTAAAGTGTTAATTCTTATTTACTTGTATCACATTTAATTGTATCACTTATGTTTGCAAGAAATAAATGATCGTGAGTAACTAAGAAACACTCCAGTGAAACGTGGGAAGATGGCTTCTCAGTTGTTGAGGGTTTTGATACGTCTACGCAACCGGAAACATAGAATCGTTAAAAAATTATTTTAGGCGACTGTTTATAATCCTGGGATGCTGATTTTTAAGAAAAAAAAGAGGTATAATGAGATACCGGAAAACTATATTGAAGGTGGTTGAAAAAATGTAAAGTATCAACATCGGAGCTTTACCATACCATAGAAATGATAAAGGTTGACTTCTTCGTAGAGTCAGTGCCACTTTATGGCAGTTACAGGACATTAAATACTGATACTGCATTTACTAAAGAGACAATGGAAGCGCTTTTTCCCCAAAATATCCTGTACCTTTGCGTGTATTATGAGGGCGGAACGGACTCTCCGCAAACTTCTATGCTGGTTTCTAGATTTTAAGTTGGTGGCGTGCAAGAACCTTTTACACCTCGAGAAAAGCGTAAGTCTGGCCTTATAAAAGAAACTTGTATGATAACTTCGTAAATAAATGCATTATATTGATGCATCCTACCATGATGTCCCCCCATATTGTAATATGATTTTATGGCGGATGTCACTAAACACAGCATTCTAATGATGGGTTCGAAAGTAATTTAGCATCTGTAACCCTCTATAAAGTGAGTGGTTTATCGCGTGCACAAATGCTATATATCCAGCAGCTTAGGAGCCATCCAGTCACGTCAGTTGTGAAAGCATTGGTTTCCATTGAATTGAAGATACAATATCAGACTGGAGTAGAATACAACATTTCTTGAGTGTTTATGGTAAACATAAAGTATTCATCCTGAAATGCATGGAAACTTGCATGAATTTTCCAGTGGCGTAGCTTTTCGTTTATGTGATCTATAATTAGTGCTGCACTCCTATTCTCAAATAAAATAAGTTTGTTTTCGGAAATAATTTTTTTTTCAGACGAGGAACCTGAAGAACCTAGGCTTACCGTACTGACGAAACAGCATAAAAACGCTATTCGTTCACTTCGGAAGGTAAGTGTATTGACGACACGCCACTTTATGGGTTCTGGTGTTTCTCATTCTGGTCAATTTATTTTTGTAGTCTTTGTTTTGCAATGTACAACGTTCGTTTTGTGATACCGTTATTTCTGTGTCTCCTAAGCAAAAGCCACGTTTCTCTGCATGTGGTTTTGAGATAATAAGACAAATAATAAAATTATAACTGCATTTCCATATACAGAGTACAATTCAAAATTATACATTTTTTATCGATTTCAAAATAGTTTATGTGGATGCCAAGCATAGTGCCTGCATGAGGCGAAGAGGAACAGATTTATCATTAAAATTGTCGCCACGTGACGTCAATTTCCTCAAAACAAATTAGCCGGAAAACTGACGTCAGGTGACCTAAAGTGCCATGACGACGTCACGTCAGATAACGTCACTGAGTCAAGTGCCCATGAGCGATATGATGTAGAATCTGCTACCTGAGGTCAAATAATGTGGCCATGGTATGCTACATCAGGGTGCCACGGGATTTAAAGTCGTTATCGCTACATTAAGAGAACAAATTGACATCACGTGATCTGATGTCACGGGACGGGGTCACATGACATGCATCACCGGGTGAAGTCGAATTTCACTTCAAGCCTTGGCGACAGGTGAGGTCGAAACTCCTCCCTACGCTTACCGGGGAAATACGCGGACGGAAGGATAGCAGTAGTTCTGGGGTTGGGTCTCACTTAAAAAGCTTTCCATTGCGTAAAATATTAGAGTACCCATATGATAGAATACTCTTCAACGTTTTAGTATGCAGATTTACACGCCAATGCTTCTTTTTTTCAGATAAAGTATTTTGTAGCGCGGAGGAAATTTAAGGAGGCCCTGAAGCCTTACGATGTGAAAGACGTCATCGAACAATACTCAGCGGGCCACGTTGATCTCCTGGGTCGAACAAAAAACATTCAATGCAGGTAAGTTGTAAGCCTCAACTAAATTATCTATTTGCACGCTTAATGCCAAAAACTATAAAAATTCGGCAGTGCTGTTTTTAGTACAATACTGTATACAAAATTGGGTTGATAAATTGTCTATTCAATCACCCCTAAACATAAGTGATCGGTTAGTCCGTTTTATATTACAAAATTATGTGCTATCGTTTTCCGGACACGATGCGTGACATATATTTAAATCCCCGTGTATATCAGTCTGTTTAATAAGCAGATTGTTCAAAGCATACTCAAACTTGTTTTTATGCGGCAAGACACCACTAGATTTCAGCGCACTTAAAAGAACACTGAACAATATAAAAAAAAGAAAGTGGCCGACAGGGCAGGTATGTCACAAAGCGAACTTTCCTCAAGAACATTATTATAATATTTACCTCGCAATCACGTCTGGAGTTAAGAGCTACTACAAAACAAGCTTATTTTTTAAATATCGACCACGAATAGGAAAACATGTTTAGGAATTTCTCCACACTCAAAAAAAGAGGCTTTGCTAGATAAATGTGGTACTAACATTGAGTTTCTCCTGGAAATTACGGTTATTCACTGGTGTGTCAAATCCAGAAAAGGCAATGTTTTGGGGAGTTCAGCTTCTCTTTAAGGACTCTTACAGAGTGTGTTGGTATGCCATATCGGAACGTGTGCAGGGGTATAAAAGACTAACCAATAGTTAATTAGCCTCAATTCGCTGGCACCTTTTAGAAAAAGTGATAAGTTATAGTTATCCACATCCATATTAATCCATATCCATATCCACATCCATATTAAAACTAAAATTTAATTCGTTAATTGCTTTAATAAAATGATATAAGCTGTCAAAGATCAGCTTGTTACATTGAGTTACAGAAATATTCTACAGTGTGTTTAAACCTGCACTGTAATGCAACAATAGGAAGCCACCTCGTAAATGTATTCATATTTAGTTAGTCTTCATTCAGCATTGGAAAATAATATTTCAATATTTAAATCCTGGCACAGCATTTATAAAATATTTGAATGCTTATCCCTTCTATATATATCTGAAATATACTTGCAGCGAACTTCCTGGGACATATGGAGACTCTTACACTCATAAATTCCTCTGGCAATGCCTGGTTATTCTTGTGGCTTTTGACAACAAAAGGAAACTTAAAATGAGCTTAATTATTTCAAGCTCAATCTCCAAACAGTCTCCTGCATACGTGTGCAAGTACTTGGACACGTGTACACACATTTTCTTGCGCCCTGGTGCAGTGAGAAAACGTCTTCAAGCACCTTACGAGGGCTTTTTTTAAAGTGATCCGTGCATTCCAATGCATCAAGAATATTATTTGATTTAGGTGCACAATAGCGAGTTTGACATGTGTGGGCGAACTTGGTGCGGACGCGTCACCTCTTTGCTTCGCCCTCGCCCTCCAGTATCATACCGAGGCCAACACTGGTTGCCAGCTGCCGAAGGGTAAATTAAGATGTAGCTTGCGTGATTTACGATAAGGAAAGAGGGTCATTGACGTTTTCTTCCATCTCCCCCTTTCCTTATCGTAAATTAGAAACCAACACGCTCAACTATCTACATTACAGCTTGTGTGATATCCTCAATAACTTATAATATTACACTCCCTGCTGAGAGTATATCCTGTTAAGTGAACGAAATCTCCATTCTTTATTATAAATGATCTTCCATAATAAGTTCAACACTCTACCATCTCTAACAAATATGTTATTAATATTCATAGCCTTTGTTATAGAGATTGACAACACGCGAGCTCCAATATCTTGCCCGCTCTTGGGAATGGCTGCAAACGACGGCTTGCGCGATGACAGATTAAAAACATCAATTGTCACTGTTTAACCCTGGAGAGTGGAGACGCGGAAGGACAAGACAACACAAATCTTCAAACACAGCTGAGGATTATTTAACAAAACACAGCCTTATATACACAGCCAAGACAAATATCCCGAACAGACCAACGAAGACACTTATGGCAATATCACCATCACGCGTATCTAAAGAGGGTACCCCATCAACCCCCAAACCAGGATAAAGGAACCTTAAGGGTTTACACATCAACCCCCAACCATGTCTAAGCAACTCGGAGCGGTAAATTTCCCCGTGATACGGATTAGACTAATTAAGCAGATAGTCATGCTGAACAACTGAAAACCGCTAAGCAAAATAAGGAAGGGGTCAACAATGCAATAAGAGAACCACAAATAGACAACCAAAACTACCCTTCCCCCTCCCCCCCCCCCAAAAAAAAACGAAAACGAGGAGAGAACATTAAACTCACGCGACCTCAAGCTCAATGTTGGTAAGACGGCTAGGTGTCTTAATGATAGATTAATTAATTAATACATTTTATTTATTTATTGAAATACCTTAATGATCCTTCTGCGAAGGACATTACATAAGGGGGGAGTTAAGTACATGCTATCTGGAACACACAAAAAATAATTGAGCACAAAAGAGCGGTGAAAATCAAATCAGATGGTTCACAATTGGGAAATCATCTCTCTTCGTGTACTAATTGTGTCGTTGTTCGGGAAAGTATTAAGGCGTAAGGAATTGTTAGAAGCACAATAATATAGTCGATGATTCGTAGGCACGCTAATAGACATGAAGCAATACGTGCAGCGCCACGACGGCAGGGAATTTCGGAGAACCCAAAGTGCAGATCACGAGCTTTCTCGTTGCGCCTCCGCGATTGCGCGTGAGTCGCGGAAGCTACCGCCAGCAGCCGTCGCAGACGCCCGCCGGAACATCGTTGGCGACGTACCGTGCTTGTACCGTGTCTGTGCTGTCTGTCTTCACGTCTTGCGGTATCACCGAATCCAGTTTGTGTAATGTGGTGTGGAGGCTGCTTCTTCAATAGTTATTTTCGCTTCCCAACTGTGGAAGGCTACGACAAAGCGTTGGTGTGGCAGACGACGGAGACGGTTGAAAGAGGAAGGCTGAGAAAGAGCCAGCCTGGCCAGCCAGACAACGCGAGAATCCTTCCCCATTTACGTGTGCTCGCCTGACTCTGCACTGACGTTTCCTTCTCTCTTGAACGCCGCTCTTCCCTCTCTCTGCTCGAGCGGTGCGATCCAGTACTGGTAACATGCGCTCGCTCGTGTACGTTTCGTGGTAGCTGGAGGAAACATGAAGGGAGGAGCGTACCCAGGGCTCCCATAATTCGTCGCGCGTCGCGCGCATTTTTCAAGGATTTTTGCAGGAGTCTACTATTTTAGCAACATGTCCGTTTATCTAGGCAATAGCATATAGGTGTTTCTTGATGTATACCCTTTTTGTTGCTATTTGCATTTGCTCTTTTGGCGCTTAGTGGTTGTTTGTTTTCACTTCGACTTTCATCTCAGTTCCTATCGATATCAACCCAAGCAGCACAGTCAAAGGCCCGCAGTCGGCCAGTTTACTTTGGCGAACCATTTTTCCATTGGCCAGTGATTGGACAAATTGCTTGGCAAGTCATGTGTTTGGTCCTTGTCCTGTGACCGGCCATTTTCATATGGCGGGCCACCGGCCATCCACTTTGTTCGGCCACTGGCCTCTTACTTTGTCCAGCTGCTTGCCGGTCACTTCTGTCGCGCCGCTGGCCACCCACTTTTGGCCCGGTCATTTGCCCTAATTGTTTACTAATTGTCAGTTGCCGACTTCACAAATGCTTCGTTAACAAATTTCAGGAAATGTTTAACGATTTATAAAGAGCGCCCGGGGTTTTAGGCATTTGCCTATAAATGCCTGAATGCATTATTATAAAGTGTGCCTGCCTTTTTCATAAATCCCTTCGAAAGTCGACATTTTTATATTATTGCCTAGAAAGTGCCAGTTTTAAGTGTTTTCTTACCATTTTATGCTTTCCTGGCGTTCCGCTATATTGAATAATTTTCTCCTGCCTACGCCCATGAGAGGTGACCGTCACCGTAACCTCCGCTATCGAGCGGTGGTTGCAAGAGACTTCAAAATGAAAAAGCAGGGCACAGCTGCATGCCCTTGGTAAAAACCAGTACAGAATCAGAATGCTGAAAGCTTACTGAGTGCGTACTTAAAGGATGTATTAATAACATACTCATTTCACACTTTCACGAAACAAGAAAATATACTTTTTCTACTTATAGCACACTGCTTGTATACTTCCAGTACATTACAAGCACAGTACATGTGTAAATTTATGAGACTCAAGTGCATTCCTAATAGACTAAGAGCGCACTTCATGTAGACCGTAAGGATACCTTCAGTGTACTATCAGCATTTATGGGCAGCACAAGTTCCTAAGCTTCTCGCGAAGTGGATGCGATGACAAGAGAACGTCGAGTTTTGATTTACTTTGAGTGTAAATATAGTGCGTTGACCTCAATGCTAGCTACCCTGCGGTCCAGCCACTATCCTTCCAATTGATCCAATCAGAGCTCGGCGTTCTGACGTCACCGCAACCCCTGCGCAAGAAGCAACCGGACTGGCGCTCCGCATTGTCAACCATGTGTCTAGTGTGTTTATGATGCGTGTATTTTGTTTAATGATTCACAAAAGGTGAAACATTATATGGTGAAGCTTTAACACAAGGAACCAGGGTAACAGGGTCACAAACCTAGAGCCTGTATTTGCTTACCCATTGGAATTATCCACTTCTGATAATTTCGCGAATGCCTAAGATGTCTGTTAAACACGGCGTAGAAGAGAAGCATCGAGGTATGGACATTCTGTAGTAAAGAAACAAGGCAAAATATCGGAATAAAAAATTTATTTGCAACGACCGTTGCAATCAGCATGTGAAACTAAGAAATCAACACAATTTCCAGAAGTTGCTTCCAGGCGCAACACAGCGCACGGATTTTGATCACGCAACGCGCGAACGAACGTGATACGTACATAAAACTTGAGGGCGTCCTTACGATATAAACAGCCCACTCCAAATGCAGGCGTCGCACAGCTTAATCGCAAGTAAATGTTTTCGAAAGACACTCGTCAGCGCTTGAGACGAAACGCGTCAGAGTTGATACACAGGGCCCATCCCGCTGCTCCGCAGTTTCGAACAGGACGTCTGCCAGGGTCTCCGTTAAACGAGGGCCAAAAAAAGCTGGAGGATTTCTGTCTGTAGGCAGCTGGTCCGGCGACCACCACCGAATCCGGGCCTGCTCTTTGTGTCAGCCGGATTGCCACTTTATCGTCCTCGGCCCACTCCGAATTCCTCAGGCGAAGGTCAGCGCTGCTTCATCGGCCCCGTCGGGCTGTCTTGGCCCTGGAAGCAGGTGCCTGCATGCTGAACAACCGCTTTCACCCTAACTGTTGCTGCGAACCAGTAAGGTCCGCGTAACTAGTTAAGGCCGCGTAACAGCCAGCCCAGCCGCCCAGCAGCCAGGCCCGGTTTGTCAGAGCGAGACCTCTTCCGCTTACCGTCGTATCGGAGCGGCCATGAAGGCGGGTTTCGCGAACCTCGCTGATTTCCTCGAACACAGATGATTCTCGGCTCAATCGTAATCACAGAGGTCTGACCAAAATCACTAATTCAAGCACATCAGCGCTGAAGAATGATCACTGCATTTCCTAAGCAGCTCCGCAGGCAACGTCTCGTTTACAAAATGGCGCGCGTTTACCGCTGCGTCCTTAGCTCCCACCCAGCGGTCAAAACGGCCAAAACCGTTAGCGTGAGGAAAGCAGTAAAGTGAGATGGTGAGGAGGTTGAGGAAGCGTTGATGCTTAGGCCACCCAAGAGATAGATCGTGCTATGCGTTGCCGAATAGAGAGCCAAGCTAAAAACCTGTACAGTTGTAAAGACACTCGCCGGTCGTTTAAATGTCACCTGTGTCAAAGCAGAAAACGAACGGTCGATGTCCGCCCACTTGCCTGCCATGACTTTTATTTCTGGCGGTCAGGCTAAGAAACAGCACCGTTGGCCACGTGTTTTTCGGTCGTTTATATGTTATTTGAGGCCATGCAGAAAACGCACAGTAGGTGTACGGTCACTTGCCAGCCATGATTTTGTCTATGTCGGCCAAGCTGAAAAAGGATACTCGGTGGCCGGACAATTGCTGGCTACGCTTTTGCCTCTGTTGGCCAACAACTTGCTGGTGGTCAAGCTGGCCAGACTATGACCAACACTTGGCCGATCGGAGGACACACGTTTGGTGCTGCTTGGGAATGTGCATTCTACTATCTCTTTTTTGCGATGTCTTTCTGGCTGGCTTACGTAAAAGACGACCAACGTAGTCCTCCTTGTCTTCTCTTTTTAGGGGGGGGGGGGGGGGGGGGGGATGGGGGAAGGGTGTTGTGGTTGTGAATTTTAGGTGCAGCTTTACCTTTTCGTTATAGTGCATAGCTGTCTTCGGTTGTTCACCTTGACTATGTTCTCAGCTGTCTTTAGAATTATCGCAGTGAAATCTACCTCTCTTAGCTACGGAGTCTTGGTTTGGCGGTTAAAGTGTACCCTCTCTAGATACGCGTATCCTGGTTTAGGTACGCGTGAGTCAGCATTCTTATTAGTGCTTTCTTTGGTCTCATGGCGTTCTTTGTCTGGGTTGTCTATATAAGGTTGTGTTTTGTGAAATAAACCTAAGTTGTGTTTGGAGATTTCTGTCGTCCTGTCCTTCAGTTTTCTCACAGGTTAAAAAATGTCAGTACTTAACCAGCTCGCCTCCCTCCTCCCATTAACTTCGTTGAACATTCGTTCTTGTTTCCGCCGAAACCTGAGTGCTTCGTAAACTCGTTCGCGAGGCGCCGTACTCTTATCCGACCTATATAGTTTTAATAAACGATACCTCGTTTACACGAGGTATCGTTTAACGAGGTTGAGGTAATAGACGACACCTCGCGTCTTACTCTGGTACAAACATCTGGCCGCGTGTGCCTTTCGAGGAATACGTCTAATAACGTGACAGTATTCATGACGAAACACAGTGGATTGAAACCAGCTAAGTTACTTCCAAAGCCACAAAAGAACTCGATCAATCGCCACCGCGTTATTAAAAGCAAAGCGATTTTAGCTCACGTTTCATCGTGAAAGCCAAGATGCGTTTTAACAATATTCGTGCACGCTTTTTGCATGAGCCAACTGTCGATAAAATATATAATTAGCCTTTCTTAGCACTCAATGGAGTATATTTTTCTTCTAAACCATGCTTCTATGCAACTTGATTTTTTTTCAGCGTTTCGAAAAACACGTTGTATCAGAACCAAGTGTATACTTCAGAAAAAAATTAATGAGCTGTAACTTGAGCTTCTGGAGGACATGCTCCACTGCGTGTTTGAAGAATAAGGAGAAATACTATGCACTCCTAATGAATTCACATAACTCTCTCGCATAAAATGAAGAGTCACTTTGAGACAGCATTATTAATCGGTCACATTGCGCAAACAGCAATGTACTCATTGTTTGAAGGCCATTAAATTATTTATGTTTGGTGTTAGAATTCCAGTCTATTTGTGTGTGTGTTCTATTTAACGGATTCGCTTGTGTTTTAATTATTTTACACAATAAGTCAAACCCTACATGAAAGCGAATAACGATTGAGTAAGGCAACTTTACTATACAAAATTACACTTAAGCAAGAACACAAAAGTGAGAGCCTATTCGCGCTTTTGCTACTTTATTTCCCTGTTTAACCGGGCATATGCACTGTGAAACCCACATAACTTTTTTTACTGACGCGATTACAGCTTGTGCTGATAAATATCCACATTTGACGCGAATAATTAAATAAATAAATGAATAGGTTGCTATCGTGAATCACGCTTTTTTATGGACCTAACTTCATCTTAGCTTGGCACTAGGACGTTTTAGTAGATCTTTTTCAGTTACTAAACGGCTCCAAGCATGCCCGACAGCGCATGCAGGGCCGGCTACGCTCAAACTCAGCACGGCCGCGCATGCACCGTGACGGCTGTGCCGTTCCGTAGAGTGGAGCGGCCGTACGGATGCAGTTTACTGAAACTCGCGAATGATGTACGCCGGTTAGACGTCATCTGCGCTTTCTTTCTTTGCAGGCTCGACCAAATTCTTGGAAAAGTAGGATCCAAAGCCAAGGACGTTTATGAATCTAAAATAAGCCTCGCATCCAGAATTGTCAAAGTGGAAAGGGCGGTAAGTGAGAGTTTATTGATCACAGATGTTTGGTGATACGCATGCTGAACCTACTGATTGAGACTTCTGACTATTAAAATCTCAGCAATCATAAAAAAAAACGAAGCTTTTAAAACTATCATCCACGCAGTTAAAACAACCCTCACCATGAGTTTCTTGCACCTGCCGTCGCTTACGGTTAGCCTCAAAATGAAAACCAACGTTGTCGTCTGCCATTAGAGCCTTGGCGCTAAGTTGGAGGCGTTGGAAGCAAAGCTAGTGGTACTCTGCGCAGCTAAGTAAAAAGCTAAGCAAAAACATCCCTCCCCTGTTGTTTTCCTCGCTCGTGTTTGGTAATGAAACGAAGTGGTGGTGAGCAGCTGCCGAGAGAACACAGGTCACAATAAGCGTGGCTTGTGTTTTGACATTCTCGGACGGCACTTGGATGCCTCTCAAGAACGCCGTCGGACGAGAAGCAATGCGTCATCCGGTACTTATTTGCGTTAACTGACGAGGACATTTTTACTTCAACCTAAACGGGAAATCATTGGAAAATATTGTTCAAAACTTGTCAGGCCTCTAGCCAGTCCTCGCAACCTTTTGACTGGTTACACACATGATGACTGGAGTTCCGGCACAAATAAAATTCGTCTGCTTTGCTTGTTCTAATCAATCGCGAAAAGGTTGCTCACCTGACACGAAGGTCAGTCCACAAACCCTTAGTTGGTACGACGCTTTACTGTCGAGACTCTGCCGGCGTATCCGTCGGAGCCATTCATGACGCCGGCGACCGATTGCTCTAACAGCGCCTTGCCCTACTTCCTAATAAGTGCCTTAATAAAAAAGAAAGATACTGCTGATTGTGGTTTTATTTTGTTGTGACTTTAACGGCTGGAACAATTGATTACGGCGCAACTGTCCATTTTAAAACACGAGTGAGCGGACAGACTACAGCGCGAAATTGGCCCCAAATCATACAAAGCATAAAAAAGCAACAAATGCCTCCAGAATTAATTCGGGTCGATTACGGCGAGATATTCGAATCAGGAGTAGAATTACATCAGGGTCTTGTAAGAGAACCCTAGAGGGTTCTGAAGTGTAAATATACACTTCAGAATAATCGAGATTGATTTCATATAGAAACTGTAAAGTAGCTGTACATAAGCGCCGCCATCACCGACCTTGAATTTTTGTTCCTTTTTATTCCATTTACTTCACTTCAACGGTATCACAGCAGGCCAGGCTTTTTGCCATTTTAGATTTTACTGTCTCTTCCCCAGCATTGGTTTTTGTGGAGGTTCGTCAACGTCCGTTTTAATGGATCGGTATCTTGGTAAGACAAGAGAAGGTCGGCAATGGCGGCCGCAATCTGGCGCGTGTTTAAAACCACTTTGGTGGGATGTCTTTTACTGTACAGTAGGTTACAGCTTTGAAGTAGTTCTGACCCATCGAACTTTAATTAAGGACAGAAATTGGATACAGCGAGGCTATTACTTCGTGAAACAGACATGGCTCCGAGAGTTTACTTAAAAGCTCGATGGAACTTCGCTATTGTCTGTGTTCATGTACGTTTGTGCGTGTGATTATACGTGGGCGTGCGCACGTTTGTATGTGTTTACGCGCTAGTTCGTGTGTGTGTACCCGTGCACGTCCTGCTCGTGTACTTGGATGTGTCTTTAAGTGTTCCTATGCGAGCGCGCGTGCGTGAGTGTGCGGTTCTTTATGTGTTTGTGCGTAAGCGTTTGCGTCTATGTGCGTGTGCACGCGCGCGTGGGTGTGTCTGTGTAATAATTTAAACGTTCAATGTTGATAATTAAATGAAGGGAGCGAGACCGTTTGAAACATAGAGAAATTAAACACACTCTATCTACAACCAGAAGCCCACGAAATACACGTGCTCTGACACATACTCAACAAATTACGCATTCAAAACACGTTACCCCCCTGAGAAGTTGCACACAAAATTGAATCACGAGAACGAACTTGTTAGTTCAACAAGCTCACTTAACCGTTCTTTTTCTCTGGGTGCGTTTCGTGCTGGTTGTTCGAGTGATAAGGTGCCGGCGGGCTGAAGGTTGTGCCCTCGGCTCGTAGTCCGGTAGACTTTAGGTGGTGTGTTGGATCGGCGTCAGCGTTGGGGGTGGCGTGTTCGGAAGACGTCGTTGCCGTGGCCTTGCAATGTGCTACGAGAGCACGCGCACCAGTCTTCAGTGGGGTTAGCTGCTTGGCTGGGACCGGAGGTCAGGCCAGGTGTATGCGTCGCAGCGTTCGGGCCAGTAGCATGACAGTCTCTAGGTCGCGTGTCCTGCTGCCTGCGGTGTGGTCTGGCGTTCTGAACTATTCGAACGACGCTCCTTCACACTCCACGTCCTTGCACCTGCCCGAAGCCGCGCAGATAACACGAGTTTGTGTGTGCCTGTCAGGTTTACATGCCGTATATTGTCACGAATGACAGAAAAAGAAGCTGCGGATATCCCGTTTTGAACAACGTTTAATGGATTCCCCGTGAAAAACAAAACAAAGAACGAGCGTTGAGACAGCAGGAAAGCGGGCTACGGTTTGGTGGCGTAACAGTAAGCGAGAGCGAGACTGACTCGAGAAGTTCACGCTGAGCTCCTTGACGAGCGTGAGCCGGCATCTAAAAAATTCGGTCCAGAAGGTTCGAGCGCGGAACGTTTGGGTTGACAACGAACAGGCACATTCGAGAACAAGGAAGTAAGACGAAATGGTAAAAGGTACATCCCCAGTAAGAATAAACACGAATTTTCTAGAAGTCCCTGACCGAGCGTTGCTTGCTCGGTCCCACGCGCGGCATTATCCCTCCCCCCCCCCCCCCCCCCCAAACCACAAGCTTTGAAGGCGCATCGTTCCGATGCAGCTCGAAAGGTAATCAAAAATTGGTAAGAAAATACGATGAGACGAAATAAACATGCAGCGTCACAGTCCTAACGCGCGGAGAATGGCTTCAGTCGAACGACGTGGACGACTTCAATTCGTAGTCGTCGGCGTCCTGATGGTCGGGTTTCGTTTGGGAGCACCACGTTGTTCAAGTCCCCAAGGCGACGAATGACAATGTGGGGTCCGAAGTAATGTTTTAATAGTTTTTCGCTGAGGCCGCGGCGGCGAATGGGCGTCCAGAGCCACACCTTGTTGCCGGGATCGAACTCCACGTCGCGACGACTAAGGTTGTACCGGCCAGCATCAACACATTGTTGGTTATTCTCCAAACGTAAGCTAGCTTACGTACCTCTTCTGCCCGTTGGGCGACCAGCTGGGCGTCATCGGTGCCGTTGTACGTCGGATCGTGGGTCAGCATGGCGTCGAGCATAGTTGTCACCTTTCCGCTGTGCACCGACTGAAAAGCTGCAATCCCAGTGCTCTCTTGAACCACTGAGTTGTACGTAAACGTGACGTAGGGCAATAGCTCCTTCCACGTCTTGTGTTCCACGCCCACGTACATCACGATCATGTTGGCAATACTCTTGTTTACTCGCTTCTTCGGTCCGTTTGTATGCGGGTGGTATGCCGTGGTTGGACGGTGGTTGGACGGTGGTCGGCGTGGTTAAGGCGGAGTATGGCTTGTGTCAGTTGCGCCACGAACGATGAGCCTCGGTCCGTAATCAGGACTTGGGGAGCGCCGTGTCCGACGACGACGGACTCGAAGAACTTGTCTATTTCCACCGCGGTTCCCGACGGGAGTGCTTCTGTTTCGGCGTAGCGGGTGAGGTAATCTGTTATGACGATTATCGAGCGGCTTACCTGCTTTGACGGCGGGAAAATCTAAACTAATATATGCCAGTGATGGATGAGGAAAGAATAAACAATTAACACTGGGACAACACAGCCACATCTTTCAACTAGCAACAGACGATTAAAAATTCCCACAGCGAGCAGCCAACTAAACCCTGGAGGGAAAGGGGTAGAAGAAGAGAGAAGGGGAAATAGAAAAAAAAAACGAAAAAAAAAACGCGAAGGGCAAGTCAGGGAGGCGAATTTATCGCGGATTTTAGGAATTCAACCTCAGTTTTTGTCAGCTTTCCATATGTTTCGGCTGATTAGTCGAAGTGTCCAAGAATCGGTGTCGATTGGAGTCGTCGCTTTAGCTGGTCGAATGCCTGTTGATGATCTTGTCCCCATTCGAAGTTCACGGCGTCATTCGTGAGGTACGTGAGCGTCACAAAAAGCTTCGTTAAATCCCGAAAGAACCGCTTGTAGTACGCGCAAAGTCCCAGGAATGTTTGGACGGCTTTCTTTTTGGTGGGCGGCGGAAATGCCGCTACAGAACGACTCTTCTCACAGACAGGACGAACACCTTCGTTGCTCACAGCATGGCCTAAGAACTTCAGTTCGCCGTAGGCGAAACGGCAATTCGTCGGCTTGAGGGTGAGTCAGGCGGTCCTGACTGCTTGAAGAACGGCCCGAAGGCGTTGCAAGTGTTCATCGAAGTTGGCTGGGAATATCAAAACCTCGCCGAGGTAAACGACGCAGCTCTGCCATTTGAGGCCACCCAGTACGGTGTCCATGACACTCTTGAAAGTTGCCGGCGCCATGCACAGTCTGAAGGGCATCACCTTGACTTCGTGCCGTCCATTGGGCATGACGAAGGTACTCTTTTTTTCGGTCCCGTTCGTCAAGTTCTATCTGTCAGTGGCCTATCTTCAGGTCCATCTACAAGAATTATTGGGAGTGGCGCAGCCGGTCCAGTGTGTTGTCGATGCGGGGGAGCGGATACATGTTCTTCTTCGCCACCGCGCAGAGTCACCGATAGTCTACACAGAATCGAAGCGTTCCGTCCTTTTAGAGCTCAGCTCTTAGGCGCCCGTTTACGGCTTGAGCGGCGTCGCAGTCGCCGTCGGCATGCCGGCCCCTTGCATTATGGGAAACGTCCCATAATGCGACGCGCGGGTCTCACTCGCGACACAAGCGTTGCACTGTGGGACGTTTCCCATAATGACACCACACGTGACGTCACGCGTGACGTCTCGAGGCTGACGAGACGTCACGTACGAGCGTTCCGCGCG